AATGTAAAACTGCATAAAAAAAACGCTCAGAAGGGTCAACAGGGAAAGGGTGGTCTCGGACACACACACACACACACACACACACACACATACAGTGTAGGGGCTCTGATAGACCTATAGGTGTCACCCTATACAAGCTGGGAGTAAGCAAGCCTCACACACACACACACACATAATGGATGGAAGAAGGGGCAGACAGATACAGTACAAGGCTGTTGTAAAGGGTGGGGGGGTTGGGGGTGGGGGGTGGAGAGAAAATGGCAAGAGAAATATGCGCAGATGACAAAAGCAGATGCTGGGCAGGAAGTGAGCGTCGGAAGATGAGACTCAGAAGACAGCGAGATTACCTTCAGATGAGAAAGCCGAGCAGCCTTTCCTCTCCTTTCCCGAGGAAGAAGCAGTGATTACACACATACTAATCGTACTGACAGGCGCAAACCACCAAATAAATAATACATGCTGCTCTCCCACTGCTCTCCGGCGCTCGCGAGCTCGACTGGATGGCCAGCGTGTACGTTCGCCCGAGCACCCCATGTCCCTGCTGGAGCGTGCAATCCTTCAGTTTAAAAATAAAAATTAAAAAAAAGGTCAAGCAGAAACACGCACCTGATAGCGAAGGACTGAAGGAAGCCCTGCAGCCTTCGACCGAGACGTGAGCTCCTAGCCTGTCTCGCTACTCTTATTAAAGGACCAGTCCACCCCGAACTGATATTGTATATTAATATTTACAATCTTCAACGCCGTCCTAGTTTCATGTTCTTAACTTTAAACTCCTTTCATCGCTCGACGCCGTCGTTACCCGCGATGCTCTTCGGCTTCCTGCCGATAGCGGTTTTAACCCCTTTGCTTCGTCGCTACCGTAAGACGTTGATGCAGCGGCGCTTTAGTCTGCTTCACTTTAGTCTCTCAGGACTCTTATCTCCTCATCTGGACGCTCTGCTCAAACAGATCAGCTTCCAAAGCTTCGGCTTTCCAAAGCTTCGGCTAACTTGCTAACTACAGTCCGTGCCTCATGTCTCAGTGCAGCGAGCCATCTCGCTGCATTGCATGCTGGGAGTCCGACGTTTATGTACTGTATGTACGGTTTAGGTATATTTGTTGTCGTTGTTTTTTTTGGGAGCTCACTGGAAAGCCAGACTCTTATCATGTATGACTGACATCATATGCATTTGATGATGATTATAATAATAATAATGTCTTCCTGGGACGTCAGTGGGGGGCAGTATTTTCGTCAGGAATAACGATCACTGCATATTCCGGTGTAAACACATGTGCAAATGAAAGTGTCTTAGGGTGGAGATTTCCTTTAAGATCATCAAGGCACTGCTTATCGTTTAGATGTCACGAAATCCTTGACCACCTCTTTGCGACAAACCCCCCCCAACTCAGCTCCACCCACACACACACACACAAATCTTCCTAACCATTTTCCCCATTTTCTGTTTTTCCTCTCCGTGTCCCGCTCCGGACAGCTTCCTTTTTCTTTCAAGCCGTGCTGTCGGATAAAAAAAAAAAAACCCAATCGCATTTCACACCTCATGGACTCTATCTCTCTGCCTGTCTGGTTTCTTCTTCTTCTTTTTATTTTGATCGCCCCGTCCCCCCTCCACTCCGCACCGATCCCCTAACCCCCTCCACACACAGCTCACCACCCCTTCCCTCTTCGCCCCCGCACCCCTTCCCTCATATCAAAGCCGGACTGACTCCGGACCGGCCGGCGGAAAATGAAAATGACAGAAGGGGTCCGAGGGACAATGGAGGCACAGGCGCCCATGCTGGGGGATTTCATGCATTGCCCAGTCTTCATATCAGCACCACTGTGAAGCGTCCACATGTGAAACCCCACCCCCGATTGCTTTCCAAAACACACACTCGCAGACACATCCACACGTACAGACACATACACCCCGTGCATATACGCTGTACTTCCTCTAAAACCGGAACACTCCTGGAAAAGCAAACCGCGGCTCCGTGCCAGAGAAAAGTACGACACACGGAACCCAAAAACGGAGAACTCTGAACGGGAGAACCGAAAACATCCTCGCCGCACGTGTAAAACGAGTATATAATAAAGATTTAACGTGTGCAACAGCTTTAAACACTAAATATTTATCCTATGCTTGTAAACACACACACACACACACACACACACACACACGGCTGTGATGTATATTAGGTAAAGCCTTCTGCCACCATAAACACAGAGCATGAGTCATGCTTAGAGACCTGAACGTCATAGAGCAACACACGCTGACCACACTCGCTAACACACACACACACACACACACACACACACACACACACTCACACACTCCCTCCTTCCATCCCTGCCTTCCTCTACAACCTTTCCACTCAGACACATCCCACAGATCCACGTACACACACCCTCACACAGCCGTCTCTCTCTCTCTCTCTCTCTCTCTCTCTCTCTCACACACACACACACACCCTTCTGCCACAACCCCACACAACCACACACACACACACATACATACACACCTCTACCTTACATCTCACAAACATCGCACTGAAAGCAAGCGGACTACCTTTTCGTTTCGGAGGGCCGAGGCCGTGTTACGTGCCGGATCCCAGAGCGGGCTCCTAAAAAATCCATGCGCCTCGCGCCTCTCTGGCCCCAGCGTGACCCCGTGATCTAAATGTGAATGAATATTCTGTGCTGGAAAAAGGAGGCGGGAGGAGAGAGGAGGTGCGGGGAAGAAAAGGAGGAGGAGGAGGAGGAGGAGGAGGAGGAGAGATAGAGATAGACGCAGGAGGAACCCCGGCTCCCGAGTGAAGCACTGGCCTGGGAGGCTAATAACTAAAAACTTGAAACAGCAAGTTAATCACAAACAGGAGGGAAAGCTCACGCCACCCTAGAACAATTCAACCGACGGGCTCCCCTTACCACCCCCTTCCCAAATGCCCCATCACCCCCCTCCTCCTCATATCCAACCACCTAACCCCCTCCTCATCCCATCCCCCCCCCCCCCAATCCCCTTTCCTCCTGTGCAATACTTAATTTGATCCCTCAAGCCTTTTCAAAGTCACTTTTGGTGCTTAGCCCGGGATCACACGCAGACGGGATTTGTTTTTAGAGATCCGCAAACCTAATTTACACACGCCGCTACCAGCGGTGACGGCTTTTCCCATCCCAAACAGCCGTCGCTCACCGCATCACGGACGCGACAGAGACGTTCACCCCCTCGCCGAGAGAACGTATCTATATAACGACGCGACGGAATACCAGACTAATCAGTTCGGGCGGCATTTTTCTTTTACAGCTTATGAACGGCTTGACGGTCGTTCATTTTTGATTCGTACGTTGATGTGCTAGGTGTTCGTGTCGGTTTTTTCCCCCCTGGGTTCTCCGGTTTCCTCCAAAAAAAAATATAGACGTCGGTGGATTTTCTAAGCTAAACTGCCCCCAAGTGTGAATGAGTGTGTGAATATGTGTGCAGACGAGGGCGTATTTCCACCTCCCAGCCAGCGTTCCTGGGATAGACTACCGGGATCCACGTCCGCCCCTGACCAGGACACGAACGAATGAACGAATGCATGAAGAAAAGCAATGATTAAAAACTAACATAAAAATGCTCGTCATCCTGTAGATTGAAATGGACTGGCTCTTGGAAAGTGGGTTAATGTCACACACATAACGTTCCTCCTCCCGGGCTTTCTGACAGCGTCACACACATGACGAGACAGTGTGTGTGTGTGTGTGTGTGTGGACTGTGCTTTTCACTGCCCGTCTCCGGACTGGCCTCGAGGACATCTCCGTATACAAAGACAAGCCAGATGGACAACAGCGAACACACCCCCTCAACGGACGAAGGAACTCCCCTCCCGCTTTCACTGCATGCGCCCGATATATCTGGGGAAACTCTCTAATCATGAGTTCTCCTTGCTTCACTCACACTACTTACGAGGACGAAGAGGAAGGGGAAGGGACAGGAGCATAGAGGACACCGGTGTGGTTCGTGAAGGACAGTCACATCGAATCTGAAATATTCACCACTGGCTCGGAAAATGCGATGGTACAGTTGTGACAGCTCACTGAGCTCCCCCACACTCTCCCCCACCGCACACCGAAAGCCACCCACACACACACACCTACCTAACCCCATCAGCGGCGGAAGCACGACTGCGCTCGGAATATGTACAGGCCGGATAGGGGGTGGGGAGGATGGGGGGTGGGGGGGGGATATCGATTTTTCATTTGGGTGGGGGAAAAAAATGGATATGAAAATCGCATAACCTGAAATTGTCACAGCTATTTAGTTCATAGCTCATCACTCCGCGTGTTCGGGTTTGGACACGGAACGGCCGGTAATTAGCAGACAGAGCGTGAGCAGCACATTCATAACCTGATGGAGTATAAGGGGTGTATTCAACAACAAAAACAACAACAACAATCATTTTAACGTTCATTTTTCATTTTATGGACCTCCATCCATCCATCCATCCATTTTCTGTACTGCTTATCCTCTACAGGGTCGCAGGGAGCCTGGAGACTATCCCAGCGAGGATTCGAACCCACAACCCTGGAGGTGTGGGGCAAACATCCTAACCACGGGTGGCTTCGCACTGGTGCTTTTCAGCTTCTCGCGATGAATCAGCGCCTACTTCTCTGTCCAACTGTCTTTAAACTTTAAAACAACAACAACAACAACAACAAGCCGTTTCGCTAATCCGAGAGCACCAGAGAGTGTAATTAATAATTTAAGATAAATAAATTCTTCAGATAAATAATTTACCTAAACGTGATTATGATGGAAATAGACGATGCGCTACAAAAGCCGATGGTTTCACGTGAAACACTGCGTCCACCACCTGACCATATCGTGATAATGATAACAAGTCTTTATAGGTCACATATACATAGTGAAATTCTTTTCTTCGCATACCCCAGCATGTTAGGAGGTTGGGGTCAGTCATGATACAGCGCCCCCTGGAGCAGAGAGGGTTAAGGGCCTTGCTCAAGGGCCCAACAGTGGCAACTTGGTAGTGCTCGGGCTTGAACCCGCGACCTTCTGATCAATAATCCAGAGCCTTGACCGCTAAACCACCACTTCCCCTATAAAAAAACAATAATTATATCCCTACAAGAACATAAATCACCTGCCAAACACTCGGCATCTCTTCTTGAGGGACCCTCAATCGAAAATTAAAAAAAAAAAAATGTATAAATAAAAAAATAGCAAGCCAAGCAAGCAGGTACGCACGTACAAGGTCTGAGCCTGTCCGTGAACGTTCTCCTGATCTGTTTACGTTTCTGTTTGGACACCGCAGGCCCGAACAGGGGAGCCGTCTGAAAAAGATCCACCGCCTGTTGATTTATCGAGTGCGGGGATTTGCATATCTTTGTAGTATCTCCGCCTGTGTGTTGACCGCTCTCTAGGAGGTGTCGGCTCAGGGAAAAAAAATAAATAAATAATAATCGATGCCTGGATGTATGTTGTGTGTATGCAATGTACACGTACACACCACAGACTCACACATCACACATAACGCGGCGTCCTGTCGCAAGGGGGCCAAGCACTCGGCTGCTCGTTGCGCCGATGAAAGTTTATAAGAGCGCATTAGCTGATAGAAACAGAATATCCACGAGTTCTGAATATTTTTCCGGTCAATCGATTTCATTTTAAGGAATCTGAGAAAGAGGGGGGGTTGGGGTGGGGTGGGGTGGGGTGCGGTGGGGGGTATATCGATGTGTTTGTGCACTCAGCATCCCTGCTTATATTGGCTGGGGTGAAACTTTCCAGATCTGGAATCTGTGACAGCTAAAGTTCAAAGCCACCGAACACAGCTCATGCTGCACCTTGCCAGTAAAAAAAGAGTTGGGGGGGGGAAGAGAGAGAGAAAAGACCACTGTGCGCAGCGAACTACTTCCCCCTACACACACGCAACCTATCGTTACAGTTCCACCCCGGCTGGCGCTAATAGCAATCCACTATGGAAATCCGATGATTACATTGTGCACACACTCTGAAAGCGTCTTCGAGAACGCCGCCGGTTATTGAAAGGAAAAAAACAAAACAAAAAAAAACCCCGAAACTCGCCTCGTTCGTCCTACTCTTAGGGACCTTTCTAATACAAATCAAATATTCGCCGCTATCTTTCTCCATTTGTCTTTCTTTCGGGCCCTCTTTGCATAACCCATCCATTACTTCCACATGAAATATGAAAAGGCAATATCCTCTTCCCTGTTTGTAGCGAAGCGTAATGCGATTGTGTTGTCATTTATAGGAAATAATCGCAAACCTCTCTTTCATTTTCCAGTTCAAATAACCATGAAAAATTAGCCTGCAATGTCAGGGGGGGACAGCGAAAGGGACATGCTTAGACTGTCGCGCGAGACACCGCGCTTGACATTTCTCCTTAATAGGAAAAAAAAAAAAACACAAAAAACACCCATCCGAAATATCTTTCGTATTTCTTTTTTTTGCAAAAAAAAACCAACAAAAAAAAAACACAAAAAAAAACTCCCCCACCCTCCAGTGTGTCCTTAATTAAAAGAAAGTTCTGCGATTTGATCTCGATAAACCTTTTCCTGTCCTTTCCAGACTCCGCTCTTGCGGGGGGGTTGAGCTCGGGCTGACTAAATCGGAGAACTGTAATTGAGTCTGGGAAATGAATGGAGGAAAACACTCTTAACCAAAAGAAATAAGCAAAAAAAAAAAAAAGAAAAAGAAAAGAGAAAGCTTCTTTGTACTGTACAGCTAATGTACGCCACCGTTCCGTCGCCAGATGCTCGAGGCAAACTCCGAGGCTGCTGTCCCGAATACAGCCTGAATAAATCATTCGATTTGCACTTCCCAAAAACAGTTTACTTTACCAAGTCGTTCGCTCATCGCCTCAGCGGATGGGAAACTTCCCTCTTTCGTTTTAAGTCCGTTGATTTGACAAACGAATATCTCTCAGACTGCGAAGACAGGTTTTAGTAAAAAAAAAATAACATGCCGGAAAGTTTACCGGATATGCATGTACAATGAGAAATCCACAATAATCCCACGAAGATGAACTGCTGCTGTGATCGTAAAGACTCATCCCAGGACCAGGGTTTCTGTCCTTGCCACCGTGACCTCTGGCTCGCTCCGTAGGGATCTAAATATGCATATGTCACGGTGGCTAAGGAAAGAAACCCTGGTCCTGGGATGAGTCTTTACGATCACAGCAGCAGTTCATATTAGTGGGATTATTGTGGATTTCTCATTGTATATGCATCCAGATGCCTGCAAAGCTGCTTTGTGCAGGACAGGGAACACCGACTTGAACGGACGCGACTGTTCGCGCAAAAAATCCGTGGTGTCTGTAAAAATAAAGAAATAAATAAATAAATAGATAGATGAAATCCCAGGCCTACCACAGGTGGAACGCAGCACGTCTCAGATCAGATCATTGGAGAAACGAGAGCCAGTGATGAAGCTCGCCGTTTCCCCGCTCTGCTTATTTACTCTGATATACAAACTAGTGGTAATTGGATTGCTAGCCATGGAAAGTCTATAATGAGGCTTAATAGACATGCGTTGTTTCTCTGCAGTAATTATGCACAACATGATCAGGCCCCATATCTGTTTTCTGATCTAATTACTATAGATGTGTTTATCTGGCTAACAATTAATATTTGTTTATTTGCATCAGTATATATAGTAGTGTTTAGCCGAGCTCTGACAGCCGTACCGAGAACGTACTTCGGAGATGATGGCAAATGAGCAGACGAGGCCGTTTCTGTCATAATTAAAAACCTTCATCGCTGCTCTCCCACGTTTTCGTTCAGACGGTTAGAGAGTGCATCCTGTCAAGGAAATGGCGTGGCGAAGACCTACGAACGGAGCTACGGCGCGCTAAAATGAAATACGGCGGTCTGCTGTACTAGGGAAATAATCAACAGTGGCGCGGTGAGTGGACGTTACCACGCCGACGCTTGACCCGTTTTACGCAGCTTGCCATGTAACGTGAACTTCAACTTCAAAGTTGCTGATTGACCACTGACGCTGGCGACTCCTTACACGAACGGTAAATAAAGGATCATCGACAGCGTTTATGTGACGCACCCACCATTATACACGTCTCTGTAAACGGGCTGTCACTATGGAAACGATACCCTACTAGAACGAGCGCGTTAATATAAACCAGCGATTTGCAGGGATAGAAAATCCATCAAAACTTTCTGACCAATCAGAAGCCAGCAGAAGCCTGGCTGTGATACGATCTCGTATAATCTCTAACACGGAGTTAGCGATGCAGGATATCCACTGATACGTAACTATCTCGGTGCAGATACCGACAGTATTTTTGGACAGGTGGAGGAGAATGGGTGTGATGTTATACTTCAAAACGCCTAGGGGAGAGCGTGTAGGATTTTTGTCACGTCTCAGACAGACGAGGTGGCGTTTGTCGAAGCGGAGAAAAAAAAAACGAAAAAAAAAAACACACGCACATGACAAAATGCTATTCAGGAGCATCTCTGCTTCTCTGTGCACCTTATTTTTTCCACTCTCTGTAAATTTACATATTTCTAAAGAAGGATTATAGTTTGTGATGCATATAATGAGATTTCCTCTGGGAAAAAAAAAAAAAAAAAACGGCTAATGAAAAAGAACCCATCTTGTGCAATTAGCTGGAGCTTATTTATTCTCTTCTTGTAATGTATTAATTTATTATCGCATCACTCTGCCATTATTTATTTATTTGATTATGCACACACCTTACAGCCTTAATTACAACAGAGCTCGGGAAAGCAGAGGAAGACACGCGAAGGCCCAACTCCTCTATCAGTTGATCTTGTTATCCGTTTAATCTCAATAGTATATCCATCCAATCTCTTATCAGCATGCACTAATCTCAATCTAATCAGTTTACCAATTTGCTGTATGGAGGCTGGGAAAAAAAAAACCAAAAAAAAAAAACAGAGACTCGAAAACGCTCCCTGGCGAAGATAATCCTGTCGATGTCGCCAGAATGAGGTCTTCCCGACCGGCCCTTTTCCGAAACTTCTCCCGCTCGCCACTTTGGCTTATTTTCCGTTGCGTTTACACGACACTTCTTAGGTCAGCGTTGGTCATGGCTATCAAGTGTATATCATGGGTATCAGAAATCATGCTTTTTTTTCTCTATATTAAGGTTGCAATTAGGCCCCTTTACGGATGCTGTACACCCAAAAACCACAGCAGTCCACACACACACACCATTTACTCAGCGCAGACAGGTTTCCTCCCCTCTGCTGCATGCCATAAGTCAGTTTGAACAGGCGAGGTCATGGTGGCAGGATTTGACTTACTCGCTGTGCAGTGGATGGTGTTTCAGCCCTTCTCACCACTTAGCTTGCTGTCTTTGGCTCGGTTCTGGCCGAGAGCGGTCAGTAATCGCAAAGCCGCTGCCAGGACACGCAACAGCTGCCGTAACATAACGAGGCTGTAAAATATCCCTCCGTCTACCTGGCTCACGTCGGATTGACTCTACCCGCATGAAAGCCTAGCGCTACCTCCTGCCTGCTCCGAGTCTGTCCACCAGCACATACTCACGGGGAGAATAGTTCAAAGTAAATATACTAGGTGGAAAGTAGGTTCACCAAATACACCATGTCTTCAAAAAAGACAAACTTAAAAGCAGCAACGTTCGTTCATTCGTCTTCAGAACATCTTTACGGTTGTCAGGGTTGAGATGGATTCTATCGGGAGTCTATCCCGAGAACGCCGTGCGTGGATGGGACACCGGTCCATCACATGGCACCATGCACACACACACACACACACACACAAACACGAGACAATCCATCTACCAACATGTTTCTGGCAGGTGAGAGGAAACCCAGACGGACCTGGCGACCTGATATAACTTTCGAACGGTAACCCGAGCTCAGGATCGAAAACGGCAAGACGTGAGGTGGCAACACTACCCCGCTGTACCACCGTGCCCCTAACACGTCAACACGCCGAATCAAATAACGAATCTCCGGGCATTTCACAGGCACTTTAATTCATAAGCGTTAGACTAATGGGCTCGGGAGCACATCAGAACCGTTCTGTGTATTCTTCATGCTGACGGTGCAGAAGAAGTCAGCGAGCGGGAA